AGTTTAGCAACCGCCTCACGTGCAAGCTTCAACGCCTCTGCCGCCATGTTTCCAACTACAAGCAATAAAGACAAAGTTAGCACAAAACACTTTGACAAAAATAAACGCAAGAAAAAACAGTCTAGATCATCACAAACGAAAAACAACACGGAACACCATCACACCTCCATGGAACAACACCTGCTTCGTGGGCCACCGGTCAAGACCTCCCATTACCTCCACAAACCAATCGATCACCTGTACCTCCTCAGGCGACAAGGCCCCTAGAGCAAATGAATACTGACCAGCTGGCGTCTCGTAATGAATATTAGTCCAATATAGGGGAAACCGACACTCCTTACGACTGATCAACAAAAAAAGGAAGTTCACCCACGCCCAAGACAGGTTCAATCCAGAAGAAAGTGCGTGTCCAGTTTTTATACGAATTGGCATACTGAGCAAATAGTGATCCAATAACATTGCCCGCCTTTAATGAAACCAGCCAAGCTTCTTCTTGGAAGGCGACACTTGAAAACAGTAGAAGAACGATCGTACGGAATATGGCCAACCAAAGTACTTGCATATACTCTCAAAAACTCTAACAAACGCCCAAGCGTTAGGATGCAGTTGTGATGAGGCGACCTGTAAATGGGATAACATCTCCATCTCAAAGTCGGACAGCGAAAACCTCACTTTCTGATCAGTAAAATGAGTCTTGTACACCATAAACCGCCACCGAGATCTGGCCGCCATGCTAGGCGCGTCACAAACCCGGCGATCAGCACTGACCGCGAACAGTTGCCACTTCGCCTCGTTTGCACCATTTCCAGTAATGGTGAAGCTAGTTTCAGATTTATAGTGGCGGCGCAGGATATCGCGGTCAGCATAACTTGAAGAAGTAGTAGCCACCGCCGAGTCTACCCAATTCCTCGCCTCAAGACCGTCATCTGAATGAACAACCGCCATAAGTCACGAAGTCTTCAGAATCCTACCTAGGAGCGACAAACACACAGTCAATCCTCAAAACTTCACCGATGCCAGAAGATCACTGCGAAGGGAAACTAGATACCCCACCTCGCCCTACCAACACTCTTGTCACCACCAACACCCCCCACACCAAACACAACGAAAAAGAAAGTGCAAAACACAGTTAACTCACCATCAGAATCTGAGGTGTCTGAAGAACTTGAAGAATAAAAATCTGAATAGCTCAGGTTAGAAGGCCACCAGGCAGGCGGTATCTTATAAAGTCCTATGTCTTCAAAAATAGCGTCCTACACGCCATCCATTATAAGGCGACCATCCTCTGGGTGGTATCTACCTAAACGGTTCTCTGTGGAATCATCATACATGCGACGATGAAATGACTGGGGAATGGGAGGAATTTGACCATAAGATGTGCGAAGGGCAACGGAAGAAGGGCGAGGGCTGAAATAATACTCCAAAGGACGGTTTTGTCGTTGGTGATTGATGTTGGATACGGTTCGAATAAGTTGCCCAACTCCAAGCTCAGAATGCCGCAAAACGCGGCGTCGTGAAGCAATCCTCGGATTGCGCGAACGACCAGAAGGCCTAGAATAATTCCTCCGTGAAGAACAAAGGTTGCCCCCTCGACTGATCCTCCTGACCACCCTCTCCTAGACCTTGCAGACGAACGTCTGCCAGATCTGGAACTTCCCTCTACAACCACTTCATGGCGTCCACTATGCGGTTTGGAACATGACGCCTCACCGGCATACGGGAGGACAGACCCTAAAGCTCTTTCGGGAAGGAGATTTTGAATCTCCTCTTCACTAAAACCCAGAAGTTCGGGTACTTTGCCATGGGGCAATTTCTCAACCCCAGGAATCAAAGGACGACTTGGGGCGCAACTAGCAAGATATTCCCTCATTGTTGGCCCCACGACACTATCTCCCAGTGCCTCAAAGGCTTCATCAAACTCCTCTTCCTTAATTTCTACTTCCGGCTCAGGAAGTATGAGACCAGGGATGGGTTCTATAAACCTAACCATCGATGCAACAGAAAAAGGAGTAGAAGGAAACCAGAAACAAAGAAACGAAACGATGAAGGAAGAAGCGTTATACCTGGGAGATTGTAGAAAATGAGAGAGAGAAGACCGGCACTATCACACGGAACTGAGGATAGGAAACAAGCAGAAGGGCAGAAGCACAACAGTGTATGATTCGCGAAAGCAAGGACCCCAGTGAGGGGTCTCCCCCCTTTTATATAGAAAGAGGAAGAGGAAGGTCACATACGTACACGTATAAGCCCTCTTCACTCAACCGTAAGATGACACAGTCATCGTGCAATGGGCGGTTGAGATGAGGGACAAAGTGGTCACTTCAAGAGGACAAGTCACCTATCACGTCGCATTAATGCGTCGTGCCTCATGACGCTTGGATACCTGCAGTAAATGTCAATGATGGAAAAATACGTACACGTTTAAGCCCTCTTCACTCAACCGTAAGATGATACAGTCATCGTGCAATGGGCGGTTGAGATGAGGGACAAAGTGGTCACTTCAAGAGGATAAGTCATCTATCACGTCGCATTAATGCGCCGTGCCTCATGACGCTTGGATACCTGCAGTAAATGGAAATGATGGAAAAACTCATCATGACGGCTCCTCGAAAACCGAAAAGCCACCCGAGAATGCCAGGAGTGGCAGCCTTTTCCGAAACATCCTCAGCCAATCACCGCCAAACCACGAGGACGTTACAACTGTCATCAGAAGAAACGACCCACACCCAAAAACTTTCGTATCGCCAAACAAGGCGTCGCCAAGATGCCTGCCTTGGCACCAACCTACACTGGTTACCAAGATCGCCGAACGACTCACGCCCAGTACTTTCGTATCGCCAAGCAAGGCGTTGTCCAATTGACTACCTTGGCACCAACCTACACTTGCTACCAAGATGGGGGGCTCCTGTTTCGGATGGCCCAACAAGAGTCAGGCCCAATAGTCAAGGCCCAGCACCTACCAAGCATCCACGTCAGCCCTACCAGCTGGGGCGACGCATACCCCCCAATGTGGTAACTTCCCTAGGCTAAACACCAAAGTATCCCACCTAGGGACCTCAACTCCCGAAAGCGGTCGCCCAAATGCCTTAAGAGGAAACTGTCCCCTTGGAACCTATGCTGACACCGCCAAACGCAGAAGGCATAGCGCTGTTACGATGGCAGCGCCTGTCACGCCCAACACTGCCATCGGCATATGGTCTCAAGGAGAGTTGACCTTCTCCCCACCAACCTTCACCCGGTAAGCACAACCTTCCCTTATAAATAGCTCTCAAGGGCACCCCCCAGAGCATCTTATGTATCGTTATACTATCCATTTTCTTAGAGTCATTTTGTCACCCTAGCTTATCCATTGATTACTTTGTTTGTACTTGGCACTATACCCCTTAGCTTGGTCTGTGCATGTGCTAAGGGTATCTTCCATACATTGACTCATCCCTAAAGGAAACATAGTGGGCTTATAGATTCCAACGTCCTATTAGACCTTGAGGACAAGGTATGTTTCAACGGGGGTAGGAGTGTTAGGAGTTGTTATGGGATGATATGGTTGTTAGATAGTCTGCTGAGCAGTTGTGTAATAATAGGAATGTAAGTTGGCAGTTAGTAGGGTGTATATAATAGGATGTAGCTTGTATAGTGAAGGACACTTGAGAAATAATATTCAATTCAATCTTTAAAAAACAAAAAACAAAACAAAACAAAATAAATAAATAATAAATGAAAAAAATGCAAAAAAGAGAGATGGAATCATGTTTTTAAAAAAAATCATGAAACAAACCACATCACGAGTTAGGTTTTGTTTAGTTTAATTTTTTATGGTGAAACAAACCATACCATGTTAACTCCCCTGCTGCTGAAACATAAAAAATTTGTCTAACAAATGAATTTGGTTCGTAAAAGAATTTTTTTTAAAAATATAATAATTAGGATTAAGATATTCTATCTACCTTATTTTCTTACCTACTCATTTTTAATATCATTGGATTAGAATCTCGTTCTTTCTATCTCCTCTTAAAATTCGAATCCAATGGTGTTGAGAATGAATAAATAAGGTAGACAAAAAAATAATAAAAAGTAGAATAACATATCTCCAATAATTAATATTTAAAATTTAATTATTTTATGATGGTGGTAAGAGATATGATATTCTACTTTTTTTTTTTTAATTCCTATTTTGCCTACTCATTTCCAACACATCGCAGACAAAAGTAAGTATAATATTTTATCCCTGATTTTAAATACCTTTTTGTAATCCAATTACAAACCAATCAAAATTAATTTTAAAAAAACCTCCATTTAAAAATAATAGATTACAAATCAATCTATATTAAATAAGTCCAAAATAACCAAATAATTAAAAAAATATAATATTATAATATTATCATCGAAGATAAAAATAAGTAGCACGCCTAAAATAATAAAATAATTAAAAAAATATAAAATTATGATATTTTTATTGAAGATAAAATAAGTAGGATCTCGCTTACCAAAAAAAAAATAAAATAAGTAGGATCTCGCATGGGATGATCGGAAAATCCTAAAATCAGATATTTCAAAATAAATAAGTAAATAAATTCATTTAACCCATGACCCCAATTTATTTAAGGGCTTTATTAATTTAATGACGTAAGAGAGTAATTTTTTTTATCATAAACATAATTATAGATAAAATCCACTTACTTATATAGATTAAAAAAATAAAAATTGAGAAACGCGAAAATCTGTTGAGTGTATAATAAAGAAGGGGTTTACATTTGTCATTTAACATGACACAACAAACTTTTCTATATCATTATATTTTGTGAGGTTTATACTCTTTTTTTTTCAAGAAAAAAGAAAAAAGAAATTATGACACCCAAAACGAATCTCTATAACATTCAACAATTATTTTTCTTACAATATAACTTTTATAAATCGGCGGCTCTACAAATACGTTATTTTTTACCTTTATTTAAACCCAAATCCCAATTCATAAACCCTAAATCTCGTTACCTGCAATTCTGAGGCTGCTGCAACTGCCATCTTCTTTTTCTCTTGCGCTATTGTCTTCAGTATTCACCTTCTGCTCTGCTCAAATTGATCCAATGAAGGACGGACACTTAAAGAAAAAATTGAAAAACATGTTAGAGTTGGATCAAAATAGCGAGTTTACGGTTGGAGATGTGACTTGGCTTTGCTCCCTTTCAGAGTCCGAGATTGTGAGTCTCTTTCTCTTTTGTTTATTCACATTTGCATCATTATTCTCTTTCTTTTTTACATTCTCTCTACGTTGGTCGTATTAGATATAGTATTTCTTTCAATGGTTGTGTTTCACTTCAAAATAAAGTGACACGGTGTTCAGTAAAAAGTTTCATGTCTGAAATCGTGCTCAGAAATTACAGAGGATGAAAGAAATCACACTCTTATAAGCATTTTTATTAGAATAATAATAATGGGAAAAGCATATGTACCTTTAAAGGACAAAACATTGTCTTATTTTAAATAAGATGAGTGTTTTATGGTGGGAGAGACTTATCACACAATGATAATATTTTATGTGCAAGGAGAGTATATGTACTCCTTTACTAAATAGGGGAAAAAAAAGGATATGAAAGGAAATAAACATATAGTTTTGAGTGTGTTGCGTGTTCCATGAATTTTGAGTGTGCCCCCTTCACTTGAAAGTGATTTCTCATATCAGTTCTTGATATTCAAATTTTGAAATTTTGGCAGGATATGCTGATTAGCTTGAAACTGCTGATCATTCAGCGTGCAAAAATGATAGGCTGTGATGAACTAGCTAATAAATTCGACCTTAAGATGATTCGAGCCATAGGTATGCCTTTGTTTTCAAACTTATATGCATGCCTTTTCAAAATTTCAGATGCATAATGTTGCTTGATTATGGATGCAAAATCTTGTGCTTTTTATCTTGTTGATTTAGCCATTTCTTTTTTTGTGTTTCTTTGTTATATAATGTTGATACTGAAGACAAGGCAGGGCTCAAGAGGTTTCAGTTTAAAAAAGAAAAAAGAAAACATTTCCCGTGTATTTTTTATTAGGTATAATCTTTTAGCCTTTATTTAGGGTCTTTGTTGGACCTTCTGTGTGTCTGTACAAGAATTAATTAAATTATTTCAAAATGTTCTTTGCTTGCATCTTTTGGAACTATTGGACTCTGGCATGTAATTGTGTCTGTCATATCCTGACTGTTGCATGCAATCAATGAATTGCTGGAGTATTATGGTCACAATTCATAATCCTTACTGATTTGTGCCTTCTATTTGGGAGTCTGAGATATAGAATGGAATTGAATTTTGCTGTATCAACTGCAATTAATTGAAATTCTTATTACCAGGTGCATGAAAATCAATCCACTTCTTTCACTAAGAGCTAGATAATATATGATTACCGATTAGTTAAACAATTTGAATAGCTCCATTCTCTAATCTCCTATGAGTCTTTTTGCAGCACTTGTTTTGATGGAACATCTCAAAACTGAGTTAAAAGATTCATTACTTATCTCAGATACGGCCAAATCTGCTGCATTTTTAGATGCTTGCAACTTATTGAAATGTAATAATGAGGTTGGTGCAACTATTGAAGAGCTAAGTACAAATGTCGGTGTTGATATACAAACATTTCTACGGTATGGTTACCAAGCTCATTTATGCTTATGAGAATTCACCAAACATAAGTGACTCTGTGGTAGTATGAATTATTTAAGCAATTGTCTGAAAAATAGATTTTGTATTTTTAAGTGATTTATCAAGGGAGACGGGGATCAAATTGAATTTTAAGTTGTTTTCCATGCTAAGAGCTTGAGCTTTATTACCAATGAATACAGAGCATATTGACCATTTTTTTCCCTGGACAGTTGTTAAAGACGTACAACACTAAAAAACCCACGTGAACTTTATTACCAATGACAGAGAAATTCCCAGTTCTCTCCACTGAACAGCTGTGAAAGATGCACTACATCTGTCTCTATGCAAATTTGTTTACTAACCAACCTGTAGAACTGAATAAACGGAAGAGAACCAAGCTAATGGAATTCTAAGTCTTTCTTTTAGGTTGTTTATAGGATCTTGCCCTAGAATAGTTTCTTTAAAGTGTCATTTAATTATTACATTTTCATTATGTCTTTTCACTAACTTCCTCACTTGATGCTTCTGTTCCTCTTTTCCTCTTCCTTTCTATTTCTCTCTTTTCATTCTAAGTGCCTACCTTTCCCTTACTTCCTTCTGAACTGCTGGTACTGTTTATGTGAAAATAATTGCTTACTGACAAAAATTATCAGAAAATGCCTACGACTGTAAGTGTGATTATGTGAATATTGTCTGGCTATAATAAACAATTTTTAATGTGGTACTGAATGATGCTACTCTCTTTCTCTAGTTACTATAACAACACATGGTTCAAACCTGGCCTTGGCTGGAAAACAAATTGTCCATTTGACCATCATGGCTTATGCCTCTTATGCTTTTATGAAAATATGTATGTATGGCAACACTAATATTTTTATATTTATTTGGTACAGGCCACAAACTTCCAAACGAAAGAAGCAGAAAGTTGGAAGTAGAGAATTAAAAGATTTAGCTGATCTTGGATGACTTGAAATTTATAGCTTATCCTTATTACAAGCTATGAAGCACCGATACTCCTTAAAAAATTTTCAAACGTATCAGATAAGCATATCAGAAACGGATTGTATTGTATCAACGTATCGACGTCCCGTATCGAAAATGTATTGAAAACATATCGAAAATGCCGTGTCAGAATGGGTGCTTCATAGATTACAAGGCCTCTATTTTTGCTGCAGAAGCTCTGATTTTGAGTGACCACCTCATTGGCGAATGAACAACAGTATATATATGTTGCTCATAGTTTTTGGTTTTTGACAATTTTATTTTGTAGGAGGAAATGAGAAGCGGGTGCTGAGTTTTGTATGTGTGGATTGATCATTGAACATTCTTCCAAAGCGATTATTTTAGGGTAGAATGAACTTTAACTCACTGGAATCTTAGCCATGCATAAAGATGTGTGATATTGATAAAACTATCTCAGAAAGATCTATTTTTCTGGAATGGAAGACAGGTTTTAAACATATGGTGTCTATGAATTGCTGGTTATGCCATTTGGGATTTATAATGCTGTGTTTCCATCCGTCTCATGACTCATATTGGGAAGCAAAAAGTTCAATATTAAGATATGGCTTTTCTTCCTTGTTTAAAAAATCAAAGTAGATGCATCTGATCTCAGAGCTTCATGTGGATAAATTCTAATGTCTTTAATCTAAATTAAGTAATTTTTTATGTTTTACTTACTATTCGAAGCCATGATAGCTAATTTATGTATAAGCAACTATGATAATGCCTTTAATACCCAAAGTAATGTAAAATGAAAGTTATTGTATGACCATGAGGCATCATGGAACCAGCAGCATCTTCACCCCCTTAATTTACCAACCATCGCTCATATTACCAGCAATCAGGTTTATCATATATTCTTTTGCATTCTATTTGTCGACCGTTTCATTATTTGTTTCTTTTTAACTCCAAACCCCAAATTAATGCGAATTTTTTTCTAATTTGTTTCGGAAATTAATTCATAACACGACAATTAGGTAATTGTAAATGATCAGCTTCACAATATAACTAGTTTTTCTGATTAAGGGTTTGTAATTTATATATTTTTTATTCTTTATTTATTCAATATTAAATTAGTTGATGTTATTTAGATTATTATATATATCAATAAATGAAAAGACTTCTTGTGAGAAACATTTTTGAGCTGATTAAGCTAATGAGGTGTAAAATCATTGAATATAAACGGATTTTTATTCAACATGCACTAAAATTTGTGAAAAAAACAAAATTTGAAATGAATGTCACTATATTTTTTTTATTTTTTTTTTGTAAATAGTCACTATATTTTTAGGCACTCTTGCGATGTGTCAAATCTTATATTCTTTTGTCATAAGTAAATAAATAAATTATTTTAATCAGCATCAACATATTTGTTAATGCTGATTTGTATCTATTATTTTAATCTAATTCTATTATTGATTGAAAAATAAATAAATTAAAAATTAAAAAGGTAAACTACTAAAATATTAATGAGCATATGAATGTCTTAGATCATTTAGCATCTTTGGGATTGGAAACTTTTGGGCACCTCTTGGGTGATTTGGGAAAGACCAAGAGCTCTCGAATTCTCTTGGAATAGCTTTTCCTTTTTCTTGTTATTTTACAATTCTTCTTCATATCTGTTGTTGTAATCTTGCTCTATTTTACTTTTATGAGTTGTATTTCAGTTGAATCAATTATTATCAATATAAATTTTCATGTATGTAAAAGCGCTAATATTATATCCAAGAACATGAGAAAGTAAAAGCATTGGAATGTTTATCTATTAAAGTTATTTGTAGAATTGTAATTCATAAAATCATTATTTACAATCAATTGTCCTTGAGGCTAAGAGTAAAGGGAATAGCAAACATCGAAATTCAGGCATCTAATTTACTGATTATTCGGATACAATGAAGCCGTTCATCTTGTTTGATAAATATGAACTATATGATTCTTATATAGTAACTATACAATAGTCTTGACTTATGTACAACTCTTGTCATTTTGCGTGACCATGGGGAATCAAATGATAAAAATGACAATATTTAGGTTGACAAGTGCAAACACACACGCACAAAAGCATAAATAGGTGCATACTACACAATTCAGAAATAGTTCTATCCAATTCCATTATGTCCTCTTTTCTCAAATACACCGACAGAATCAAGATCAGGTAGTGTAAGTAAACGGCCGCGAACACAAAGCCTACGAGGAACGGATACTGTTCATGGAATTCCTTCCCAACTTCAGAAGTGATAAATACAAATAACAAAACGACATCACCAATCATTTTTCCCACGTACTTCCCCATCTTGCCACTGAATTCGTTAGATAAAAAGATGAATAAGAACAATGTTAAAGAAGATTAAAATGATATATGTTGGCTAGGGTTTCAATGGAGAAAATTAGAGAAGAAAAGTTACGAAACTAAGGAAGAAGATGTATATATATATATATATATATATATATATATATATATATATATATATATATATATATATATGTTGCGCCTCATTAACCTAAGACTAGGTCAAATCACCACCCTCATCAAATCTCAATCTTATTGGACAATTTCCTTAATTTTATCCAATCAATCCAATTGATTAGTTTTTCATATTTCAGCCAATTAATTTAATTAATTGATTTCCTTAATTTTGGTCAATCAATCCAATTTATTTGTTTCCCCAATTTTAGCCAACTAATTTAATTAATTGGTTTCCTTATTTTTGGTCAATCAATCCAATTGCTTTGTTTCCCCAATTTCAGCCAATTAATTTAATTAATTGGTTTCCTTAATTTTGGTCAATCCATCTAATTGATTGGTTTCCTTTATTTTCTCCATCCTTATTAAATCTAAATTAATGATTATATTTAAATTCAAATTTCAAATTCAAAATTCAAAATTAGAATTCAAATTAATTTTATTAATTTAACATTTCAATTAATTAGGTTACATCATGGATCAAGTCCAAGTTGACCCATGATGCCACCTATTCTCTCTTGGCCCAATATGTTGGCTTTTCCAACTTAAGCCATTATGCCTTATTGGGCTCAAATCACATATGCTAGAATTCAAGACAACTCAAGGTGTTTGCGTGTGACCCATCAGGCCCAACATAGCCACTGACATAAATGGGCTTGGGCCCATTAGGCCCAATCCATCTAATGACAACACAGAGCACTAGCAATGCTTTGTTGTCCCAGAGCTAGTTGAGTTCATTGAATGATCAACCTGTTATACCTATTTGGTTACCGTATAAATTGTCCTTTCGTCCCGGTTATCCGTCCCATTGACCTAGGTCAAGGAAAACCTATCAACCCCTGCTGTCTAGGGTTAGCTTTTGCCGAAAGAGGAAATCTTCATTTACGAACTCTAAAGAGTGAGCCATCTCATGACTCTTTTACTATGCATAGATTCCTGAGTCCCGTAATGTCATCCCGGTTTCACCGGTCTATGGATAACCTAATCTCTCACAGAGATTGACGAATTTCTTTAGCTTGTCACACTAGCCCCGAGTCCTGAGGGCATGCCAAGAGTATACCTACGAGTCTCCATGTTTCAAGCAGAAGAGATATACAATCAAAGCAAGTCTTCCAGAGCACAGGTCTATATGACAACTTCAGGTCTAAGGAAAGACACACCCAAATAATAAGTGACATTACTTATTGATACTATCTGTGAGATTTCCTTGTAGTGTCTCTTTGTGGGTCAGTTCAGTGCGAGCTATTCTCCAATAGGTCCATCCACGAGTCATCTAAGACATCGCCATGTTTGTAGCTCACGAGGACTCTACCTTGCATCTCCATGCAAGTAGCTGAGTCGTGCTAGTCTTACCCGAGATCACTAATGCCATTATCGGTATCTTTAGACTAGCAACATATTTCTGGAAATGGACGTGTGGTGTTATTGAGCCCTTATGATCGTGATCCCTATCACAAATCCTCAATGTGACACCCGTTCTATTCCAAGGGCTTTATCCAGTTACTCATATTCAATATTTGAGACATGCAATATGAAACAAGATAAATAATGCTTTTATTCATAAAATTTATTCATAACAAATAAAGAAGTACATGGGTCCATCTGACTCTCAGATTGTCTCTAGGACACCTATGTACTAACAGCTTTTTAGGCACCATCTCAAAATTCAACATGGTAAAAATTTCTCTTATATCTTAAAGTCCTTCTATTTTCTCTCTTTAATGTCTGCAAGAGCAAAATGAGCTTTCCCTTCTATTCTTCATGTCCATACATAATTTATTTCGTATTGTCTTTGTTGTTCTTTAATTTATGTCTTTTCTTGATAGATACGCTTACCGTGATGGTGGCAGTGATGAGTTGGATATGGATGATACTACTTTGACCCTCATAAAACCACCTTTTATTTCTTCAAAGAATGTTCGAAGTGTGCTAGATGTTAGACCAGTGCAACCCAACAACGTAGTTTCAAAGCAATTTTTCTTTTAGGAATTTTTTTGCTTTAATTATCACTATTAATTTATGCTTGTACTTTTTTTATTTTTGTTTGTGCCTATTGTATAAGTGGCTAGCCTAATTCAATGTAATTATGCATTGGAAAGCTTTGTTTTGCATGCTCATATTGAGAATATGAACTAGAAGAGAAATTGGTGGCTCTTCAATTCCAAAATATAATATAGGCATATGAAACTTTTTATCTTTTAATTAAATTTATCATAATTAGCCTTGAAACCAACATCCTTAAAAAAAGTGAATATTCCAGAATGTTTTTTTTAAAAAAATTCGAAAATATAATACAAAAAGACAAGAGAATTTCGTACAAGTAATTTTTTTTAAAATATTTAACATAAACATTTTAAATATATGTGTATAACTAATTTAAAAAAATATAAAATTATAAAAAAAATGTATTTTTCTTCTCAACCATAAAATGTTTTGTCTGTTTAAAAAAAGTATAGTTACAAATTAAATAATAGTTTAAAGTATTGGGGATCGTAAGAGATAAAAGATAAAAAATTAATTTTTCAAAAATATGTAAAATTAACACAAAAGAATTTAAATTTTAAATTTAAATAAAAAAGACATATAATTTTGTAAAAAATAAATTGTAAACATTCAATCACTATAAAAATGAATGGCCATTCAACGATCAGTGACCATCTAACTACTGCGTCGTAAAATGATGTTTGCCATTAAGTATTTATAGACTATTTAAAGGTTTTTCATTATTTTCTGCATGGAAAACTGTTAAGCTTATTAATAATATTTATTATTATGTCTATTGGGTGAAAATATTTAATATTTAATATTTAAATTTTAAACTTTTTAAGTTTGAATTTTGAACTTGGTATGTGGGAAAAGAGTTAAGTATTTAATGTTTCTGAAATGCGAAAATATATATATACATAATAATTTTAAATTTACTATAAAATTATAGATCAAATGAAAAAATATTTAAAATTATAAAAATAAATCTATAGTTT